GCCAGCACTGAGGATCTGGTCAATGGCATGGAAGTGGTGGGATCCTTAGGTGGGAGTAACCATATTCTCCTGGAATATGTGATACAGAGGAAAGAGGAAATAAGAGAAGTCAAATATGCATTCTAGACTTTAGGAGAGCTGATTTCAAAAAGTTTAAATAAATACTGAGTGCCATTCCATGGACACGAATACTAAAAGAGAAGAGAGTTAAAAGTGAGATGCTAAATGCACAATTGCAAACAGTACTACCAAGAAGAAGGAAAAAAATAAGGTAAGTGTAAAGAAACCAGCATGGATGTTCAAGAACATTCAGCTGGGCTAAAATTTAAAGGAGACATGTACAAAAAATGGGAAAGGGAAGAAATCACCAAAGAGACATTCAAATGTACATGTGTAGGAAAAAGGTCCGAAAGACTAAAGCACGAGATGAGCTTAAACTTGCCAGAGAATAAAAACAATCAAAAGGGGTTCTTTGGTTAGGTAAAGGTTTTCCCCTGACATTAAGTCCAGTCGTGTCCAACTCTGGGGGTTGGTGTTCATCTCCATTTCTAAGTCGAAGAGCCACTGTTGTCCATAAACACCTCCAAGGTCATGTGGCCAGCATGACTGCATGGAGTACTGTTACCTTCCCACCAGAGCGGTACCTATTGATCTACTCACATTTACATGTTTTCGAATTGCTAGGTTGGTAGAAGCTGGGGCTGACAGCGGGAGCTCACGCCGCTCCCTGGATTCAAACCTGTGACCTTTCAGTCAACAAGTTTAGCAGCTCAGCAGTTTAACCCATTGTGCCACTGGGGGCTAGACCAAGGAAATGGTAGGGCCTCTGCATGGAGATGATGGTGAAAAGTCAGAATTACTCCACACCTTATTTGCCTGAGACTTCTCCCAAAAGGAAATCAGTATTCAACCTGAGCAATCCAGTGTGAATGAGACAATAGGGGAAATGCAACCAAAATAGTAAAGAAGTAGTCAAGGAATACCTGGAGTAGTGGCTTAAAGAGCTGGAGATGTTTAGCCTGCAGAAGACAGTTGAGAGGAGACATGATAGCCATGTATAAATATTTGAAAGGACATCATAAGGAAGAAGGAGCAGGCTTGTTTTCTGCTGCCCTGGAGACTAGAACTTGGAGCAACGAGTTCAAGTTACAGGAAAGGAGATTCCACTTGAAGAACTGACTCTCAGAGCTGTTGAAGAATAGAACTCTAAAGTCCCAGAATGCGGTGAAAGCTCCTTCTGTGGATGCTTTTAAACAGAAGCTTGATAGCCATCTTCAGCAGTGCTTTGATTGTGCTTTTCTTGCATGGCAGGGGTTTGGACTGGATGTCCCATGTGGTCTCTTCAAATGTTATAATTCCACAATGCTATGATTCTACAACTCTCTGATCAGTTGGGAGATTGTAGAATTGATTATGAGACTTCTGTCCCTTTTTGTACTACTTCCTGCACTAGTTGTAAGGCTCTCCACTGACACCAAATATGAGGAGTACCACAAATCTCACTGCAAACACCACTGCTTTCCTCATATCCCCGCCTCAGTTACCCATATAAGAACATCTTTTCTGTTACTGTGGTCAACTGTTGACCTACTATAGTGCCCTCAGTAGTACTATGCAAAATATTTTGCAATTTCTATTCTACTGCGAATGGTAGTAGGCTTTCAGAGAAAGGAACTGACCAAACCACATCTCACCTCCAAGTGTGCTTCTGCCGGCAACCAAGCTTATTACCAAATATCATATATAAAAAACATTTATTTATAAAAGACCATGATACCACAGTGATCTCCCAGGTGGTAATATTTTCCAAGCTCTTCTGACTATCGTAAGTTTAAGTGCTAAAGTTGTTCAGTATATATTTTCTCATATTGCCATAATGAGTTATGGTACCATGTTGCAGGTATGCAACAACAATGCTTTGCATTTTCCACTTGATCAATGTCCCTAGAGTTAATATGTGCAACACTGATTTTCATTTATTCTGTATTGTTTCTTCTTGTGCATTTTTAAAGTAATGACTTAAAAATTAAGTAATGACTTAAAACCAATGTGCTGCTAGCAGCCAATGGCTATCACAATGGAAACGTCCCTTTCACTGCCTTCCTATAGCTTTCCCAAGAAGGTTGTGAGAGTGTAAGGCAGTAGTTCTCAACCTGTGGGTCCCCAGATGTTTTGGCCTTCAACTCCCAGAAATCCTAACAGCTGGTAAACTAGCTGAGATTTCTGAGAGTTGTAGGCCAAAACACCTGGGACCCATAGGTTAAGAACCACTGGAAAGGGAGCTAGTCATGAGAGAGAGGTTGCCCTGTCTCAGCTCTGCTGATGGAAATACTTTAAACCTGTGATTTCCAACCTATGGGTCCCCAAATGTTTTGGTCTTCAACTCCCAGAAATCCTAACAGCTGGTAAACTGGCTGGGATTTCTGGAAGTTGTAGGCCAAAACACCAGGAAACCACAGGTTAAGAACCATTGCTTTACTCAACATTGGCTGTATTACCTTGTGTGCCCTGAATGCCTTGAAGGCACCAGATCCAATGTGATCCTGGAAGCTAAGCAGGGTCAGTCCTGATAAGTATTGGAATGAAAGCTCACCAGTGAGTACCAAATGTTACAAGCTATATTGCAGAAGAAGGGACTTGCCAAACCATCTCAGAATTCATTGCTTAATGAAACCATAAGTCAACAATGACTTGAAGGCACATACAGACACATTTCACAGTATTTTATATCCCATGTTTCTCTCTTTAAGTCATCATGAGAACCCATCAGAAAACCCATATATCTCTTTAGGTCATCTTGACAATTTTGGTAATAAATACAAAATCTAAATGAGCTAAGAAGGCCAGAACCATTTTTTTAAACTCTGTCATCTGACCTTGTTAGAGCTCTTTCATTGTACACAGCCAGAAAAAAAGTCTCCCCTCTCAGTTCTTCTTACCCCTTCTCTGCAATTTGTCAAGCTCTTATAGAAGTGAGAGAGGTATTATAAAGTAGTGCCGTTGTGGTCACCTTTATCTTTTAGCCCCTGCGAGGAGGAAGATTTCAGGGGGAAAAAACTGAAAAATTTAAACTTTGTCACCTGCATGTGATGGTCCCATTCTAGATGTGGTAGGATTGTGTTGGGATAAAAATTAGATGAAATATTTCAAGGACAAAAGAGAAGTGACTTAACTATGTTCTATATGTTTAAACGCCAAACCAATCATGTTTTTGTGGGCAACGTAGTTTACCTCTTTTTCAAAAAAGGTCTAGATGGTTAGATCTACACACAGTGGCAGTGGCTATCAAAATGTAAGTATATGGGTAGATAAACAGGGACACTAAGAAAACAAGAGTAATGCTTTTTTAAACACCTTTCTCTGAAAGCAGGATCTGAGCTGACTGGACAGAATTTCAGTACAATACAATGCTGAAGTTGTCAGGATAAAAAGTACTTTTTCTGACTTACGGTGTACTTCTAAGAAAGCAAAACATTATTAGCCTAAGCTTTCCTCATCGATCCCAAAAGATAGATTTTGCAATGTTTTCGCTGGGCATTGTAAATAAAGAATTGGATAAATATGACAAATATAACAGAAGCAAACCACTGTTTATTCCAACTTTGAAATGGACTGTAGCGCCAAAAGCAAAAGGATGGATTCTTAAGGTTGTTGAGTTGGTCCAAGTTGCCAAGCTAATATAGGATTTAAGGATAAAGCAATTGAAGGTTTTTTATGCATTATTTTCAAGACTGGAAACCATTTTTGAGTAATAAGAAATCTAATGATGTAATAATATGTGATTACATTATTATTAATTTTAGTAGAATTTTTGTAATTGAATCTATAATTGTGTGGAATTTTTTTTATTATTTCTTTTATGTTTTCATTAGAATTTGGATTAAGAGTCAGAGTCCATTTGTGTGTTAATCAGTGTTAAGTGTATTAGCTTAGTGTTTTAGTTCTTTAGTTTTGTATATGATATGTAGGTTTAAAGAGTGCAGGAGAAAAATTGTAGTCTTGTGCTGGGTCCTTCTGAATGTAGCTTCACAGCAAGTGTTCATGTTATGGTCCTAATGTAGGTTCAAAGACATCAGGGCACTCTGGGCTTGCACAGACTGTGTTTTACTTTCATTCCAGAAACCCGACCATTCTAGGCTTGAGGGTGTCAGCTCTCCCGCATAATCATAATATTCTTGCTCACAATAATATTTTAAAAGAACACTCAAGAAGGGGTCAAATCTTTTCTGCGTTTGATTCAGCCTGCCAACTGACAGGACCTGCTCCTGTGCAAGTCCTGTAATTTACAATGGCCCTAGCATGAGCCTGGCACTCAATTATGGCTAAAGACCAAAAATCTATGAAAGCACAAGGTTGTTTTTTTAATGCTAGCAATGGAATGGCAAACCTCCATGGACAGAGAAGGAGTTTTTCCTTGCTGCATCCAACAGCTGGGTGTACAGTTTTTTTCCATGGAGCTTCATGGCCAAGTGCCCAAATGAATGAATGAATGAATGAATGAAACAGGCAGCCTTACAGATCATTGTTTAATTTGGTTTAATCTGTTGGTCAAGTGCCATGGTGGTGACTTCCCAGAGTCCATAGCTTGGAGAAAAACTGTTTTTTTAGTCTCCCAGAATCCTCCAGTCAACATAGCCAATGGCTGTAGTCCCCGAGCTGGCTAGATTACTCTGGGGCTGTAGTCTAAAAACATACTTTTCCGAAGTGTTTCCAAAGTCTTGTTTGAAGGATATGTCACATAGAAGATTATGATCACGGAACTTACTGATGTTGCAATTCAAGTCTCTGGGGTGGGGGTGTCCATATTGCTACATAAGCTATAAAGGAGTCATTCAGTCACTGCTAAATCCTGAGATTTGCTACTGATTGAACTAGGGCTGTTATGTATTCCTCCCTGCAACACACACCAATGTGTGTTCATGTCAATAAATGAAAGATTTAGAGCTCTAGAATGAGAGAACATAGTTAAAAGGTGTTGTACAAAGGAAAAATGCTTTGAATATCATTAATAATATTTATTTTGGAAAAATATTTTAAAAATGAATTTCTTCATTAACAAAAACAGTAAAAAAAACTCAAATAACATTTTGCACAATATTTCATAAATACATTATATACAAAAAATATAGTCACATAGACCCAGAAGTGCCTTTGTACATATTTACCAAAAAATTAAATTATAAAAAACATCACAAAATACTCAAAATTTACAAATGTCCTGAAAATAATTTTTACAGATTAAAAAAAATAACACACTTTTTCCCCCACCTAGTAAAAACACATTTTAGTATAAAAAAGGGACAATAAAGGCAGTTTGTAGCTCTAGTTCAAGAAACGACTGGCTCATAAGAATCCAAAATATACACTTCGGGCAGTGCATGTTTCTTATGGAGGAAATTAAGTCCGTTCATTTAAATATATATAGAAAAAAGCAACTGACCATAGTGCAATGATAAATATTCATAAAAGGCAGTGCAACAGGTATCTTTGAACACAGACCCTGGCCTAGTGTCCACCATGTATTATTTGCAGTCACTTTTGCTAACTTCAGTAGAGAACCAGCTCAGCCTGAATTTAGTTTCTCAGCAGCAGTCAGTGAAGGAATCTTTCTCCCTTTCCATGTTCAGCAGCATTCATTGGGGCATATAACCTTTGACAACTGTTTCAGAACAATAATTTTGCCACATCGTTGCCTTTCCTTTAAACCTGTAGAAGGAGAAGAGAAACAAGATAAATAGGTGCAATGATGGACAGATGAGATCAGATCCATAGAGGCCTAGGTCTGTTATCAAGTGTTCCTCTTCTGTTTAGACAAAATTCCCAAAATTCAAGCAAAAAAAGAAAGTGATAGAAGTTGGTTCTTCACATACCCCACCATGATTCTTCTATATTCATTTACTATGTGTGAGGTGGAAATAATTTTATAGACTAGTCATTTTGTTGTGTGGCTGATGTGTCCATCACAGAAAAAGAAAGACCTACTGGCCAACTGTTCATATATAGGCCTGCCCATTCTCAGTCAAAGATCTAGCATGAAATGTGTCCTAGAACCATAACATTTTATATGTTGTAAGGTTTCCTTTCCAGAAAAATCATTACTGATTTTGTATAGCTGTTGGTAACTAGATCTAATCCAGCAGGTAATAAAACTCACTGGAATCAAAAGACAATATAGCAGCACTGAGTAGGGAGGCTTTGCAGTGAGTTTCTTTCACCAATTACATCAGATGGTAATCGGTGAACTCTCATTTTTTAAAGAAAGATCAAGTAGGATTCAGTTTTGACTAGTGTAAAGCTGACAAAACTCTGATAGGTAAGAAAAGTTGGCTTTGGTAGGCTGGAAAGTTGTACCAAATAAATATACTAACCTCTGTTGCTATGATGCATTCATCTTTTTCTTCTGATATAACATACACCGACTGGTACTTTGTGTCTTTTGAGGTTGAATATACCGATTCTGGCCGTTTCCTTTCAGATGTTTCACTGCAGATGAGAGAGGAAAACCAAATACAAAAAATGAAATGGCTGCTTCTGGAAGCAAACAGATATTCCACCCATTGTAAATTACACTGTTAACCAACCCACTAGCATTGCCCTTCACTTACCTCTTTAGCTGTACTGCCGTTTTTTCTTCTGCCTCACAATCATATGTTTCACACTTAGCTTCACATTTGCTGCGCTCCTCTTTCACAGAGTCCTCATTCTTGAGTTCATGCACCAAATTGTAATCCACTGATGGGTATCTGGCTTTATAACCATTTTTGTCCGCATTATCGCTGTGGAAGTCTATTTTCTTATTGGTGTTCTTAATCTGGGTGGCACCAATGACACTTATGGAGATGTCCTTCTCCCTTTGACAGTTGGCCAAGTTGTTCATGGTTTCGGTTTCACTCCTGCAGGCATCTGGCTGATGCTGCCTCTTTTGCATTTTGAGTCGGAAGCAGACAACAATGGCCGCACAGCCCAGCAAGAGCATGAGGACCAGAATGATTCCGGCACACACTGCAATCCAAGGGAACTGGGAGCTCTGGCCATTGGTGTACTTGTCTGGTATGGTAAAGCCCACTGCTCCTTGAGGTGGGTCAGGAAGCAAGAACTGGCAGTTGAGGCCTCCATACCCACGCGCACATTCGCAGACATAGCGGTTGTTTCGTTCGTGGCAAGTTGCCCCATTATGACAAGGGCTGTGTTCACATTTGCTGACTGGAGTGCTACAGTTCTTTCCACTGTATCCCGGTGGACAGGTACAAGAATAATCGTTAACTCCATCTTGGCAGGTCCCACCATTGAAACAAGGAAAAGAAGCACAGTCGTCCACATTATCATCACAGTGTCGTCCAGTGAAGCCAGCCTGACATTGGCATATGTAGGAATTCCCAAGGTCAACACACTGAGCTCCTGCACAACAATGAATAAGATAAAGGATCAATATCCAAGCATCAATTGACTGATTTGTTATCTACTGCATTCATATTTGGTCTTCTCTTCCTCTTCTATGAGTATGTGGGACTTTCCTAGCTATTCTTTACAATACCTCCTTCCAAGTTTGCAAGACTGAGGTTTGATATTTTATAAAGATATTTCTTAATAGGATGATAACAAGACATATTCTTAAAGACAGATGTTCTGCAGTTGCATGTTTCAGATATATACAGCTTGCTCTCGGTATTTATTGATACTGTGCCCATGGATTCAATAATCCACGGCTTGAAGATATCCCCTCCTCCTAAACAAAATACAAAAAGCAAACCTTAACACCTTTTTACTATGTCACTGTACAGGGACTTGGGCATCCATGGCGTTTGGTATCTAGTGGGGTAGGTCCTCAAATCAAACTTCACTGGATACCAAAGACCCAATGTATCTGACTTTTTCAACATTTTAGAATACATCTCTGCTGCCATGCAGAGGGAATAATGCCCAAGTCAGGCAATGGCCTGAACGTCAGGGAATTGTCCTGATCTTTAAACATAACGTATACAAATCCCAGGGTATCAAATTCATCCATAATCCCTTAAACCTGAACAAATCCTAAGCATAATGCTATACTGCTTATTAAACATGTGCTAAACCAAAACCAAATTTGTGGTTGATTCTGTTTTTTTAATCATAGAATTGGAAGAGATCCAAATGGCATCTCATTCAATCTCCCTCTGCTCTAAAGACCTAACAGGGTCTGCTATCTGCATTCATTAACAGCTTTAGTGGCAGCATATGCAGAAACCTGAACCTGTCACTCAAATGCCAAATTACTATCTGAAAAATAAATTCCCAGCACTATTGTTGAATAAAATAGCTCATTCCCAGAGTTGGCTGAGCCTTCACAACATCATTACAGAACTCTAGAGCTCTACTATAAGACATTAAATCAATCAATGGTGAAAAGTCACAATGCCATCATTCATAACATTGCAAAGGAACTTAATCAGAGTAACATTTGCAGCTACAACTGTTACATCAACAGAAATCATGAGTATATACTCACATTTCTTTTGCCCATTGTATTTACCATTATCATTAATTGCCATGATAGAACCAAAGCTCCTTTGATAGCTAGACTAAACTTGACTATATTACAAATTTCAGAGTGGTTTTCTATGTCTATAAAACACTGAATCATTAACTTTCCACCCATAGCGTAAAATGGGAGAGTAAAAGAAAAACCCAATGGTTTTATTCAGCTGATAGAGTTATGGAAGGGAATAACTGTAGTGAAAAGGGCAATGACATTTCCCTTCCCATTAAGAACTTTAACCTCCTAAAATGACATTTTCTTCAATCCTCAAATTTCTAGTGTTGCAGTAACTTACAACTTCAGTTGAACATTTAGAAATAGAGTTTAGGCATCCAAAGAAAAGGACCAAGAGAATGTGAATATGGAATTGAGTTCTGGGTGTGCTCAATTTTCAGTATTCCTGAAATGGTGGAAATTTGGGGGCTGGATAAAACATTATCAAGGGCAGAATTCTTATTTGGGGGCCTTCTTTCTGACACACATCCCTATATATATACGTCTGGAATAAACCAACCCCTAAGTCAATCTCCGCCAATCAGGGGCACTCTGGAGTGCTCTTCCACTATTCCCATCTTCCCTAGCTAGCTAGTACCTACCATAGTATTGACCATACTAACCAGTCCTAATGACATCTACATTCCAACACATTTGTAGAGTGAAGATTTGGAGAAGCCTATACAGAGAATAACAGTCACCAGACAAGCATTTCTGCTAGGCAAGAGTGACATGAAGTGCAAATCTGCATGGATTCCTCAAAAAAGTCTTATTGGGTTTGGGGAGCTTTACTCCCACACAAAGAACCGCACCCTTATAAAATGTTCTCCCAGCAATATTCTATACAGCATATAGATATAACCTATGGGCCAATTAAATTCATACATATTTAAGTAAAACTTTAAAACATTTTAGAGCAGTGTAGGAATGTATCATTGGTGTTCATAGTTCTGAAGCTGTTGATCTCTTACTAATGACAATGGAGCTGTCCAATAAGATATTTAGGTCAAGTATGATTTTGAAGGAGCCCCAGTGGCAAAGGGGGTTAAATTGCTAAGGTGATGAATTTGCTGATTGAAAGGTCAGCGGTTTGAATCCGGGGAGTGGGGTGAGCTCCCGGTGTTTTACCCAGCTTCTGCCAACCTAGCAGTTTGAAAACATGCAAATGTGAGTAGATCAATAAGTACCGCTCCAGCACGAAGGTAAGAGCACTCCATGAAGTCATGCCTTGGAGGTGTCTATGGACAATGTCAGCTCTTCTTTTAAGAAATGGAAATGAGCACGACCCCCCAGAGTAGGACGTGACTAGACTTAATCTTAGGAGAAACCTTTACTTTTACCTTTTTTGATTTTGATTTTGAAACTGTCATTTTGTTTGTTTTAACAAGTTTGAAAGCAATCTTGAGCACCTCTTAGAAAAGCAAAAAAGCAACATGGATTTGCTCAAGAAAGGAAGTTCTATCCCAGTGGTTCTCAACCTGTGGGTCCCCAGGTGTTTTGGCCTACAACTCCCAGAAATCACAGCCAGTTTACCAGCTGTTAGGATTTCTGGAAGTTGAAGGCCAAAACATCTGGGGACCCACAGGTTGAAAACCACTGTTCTATCCAGACTGAACATCCTTCAAAATAACCAATCCAAATATTTACCTACTAGCTTGTTTTCACTGACATTGCACCATGAGAACGTACTGTGTTGACCAGAACTCCCTGAATTCCTCTCAGCTGCAGGCTTGTGTATTGTGGCATTTTAATTTAAAACAAACTCTGTCCAAGCACAAGCCTCCCAGAGCAAAGTGGGTAAAATAGGCTCAGGATTGTGTATCCCTCCAACTGCAAGCATTGTTACTCTTTTCTTGGCTCTTATCTTTGGCTGTTCAAACGGGGCTCCATGTCAAATGAACATCAATGGGAAATTCACTTAGTTTTCAAAGCTCATGGCAAAATGCCCAAAACCATGGACTGAATGCTTTGTTTAGCTTACCATTAGCACAGGGATTTGAGCTGCAATAGTCTATTTTCTTTTCGCAGTTAAATCCAGAATAACCCACTGGGCAACGGCAGCTGTATCCACCTTCCGGGTTGTCTGTGCATCGTCCTCCATTGAAACAGGGCCCATCTGCACAAGTCATGGCACCCAGCTCACAACTTTTACCATAGAAGCCTGGTGGACAGGTGCAGGAGTAGCTGTTTTCAAGGTCCTGTTTCAAAGAAAATCATACCTCTTAGAAAATATTGTGATGGCTTGCAGTATGTTGCAGAAGAATGTAAAACTTATCTTCCATCTATTAAAATATGTGTATTTTGAAACTTACAGTACAACTTCCTCCATTCTTGCAAGGATTGGCATCACATTCATTGATTTCAATCTCGCAGTTGGAACCAGTGTAACCAGGCCGGCAAGAACAAGTGTAACTCCCTTGTCCAGTGTTGGTACAAGTAGCTCCATTTTTGCAAGGCTTATGGTGTGTACAGTAATTGAGATCTGCAGAAGACACAAAAAGTACACTGATAAGGATCCATATGATCTGGCAATGACAAACTATGGCTTTAGCTAGACAGTGGTCTGAATACTTTAGGGTAGTTCCAACTAGAGTTCAGCCACTGAATCAATTAAATGAATACTATGAAAACCCATAGATATAATTCCCATTGGGTCAATGGGTTTCCTCCATTTCTGAACTAATAATATTGATATCCTATTACAAGTGAATAACCTACCTTGATTACAGAAAAGGCCACCCCAGCCTTCCTGGCAGTTGCATTGCCATGGCTGTTGACAAGTTCCATGAAGGCAACCTGGGTACCGGATGCATTCGTCACAGTAACGTCCTTGCCAACCAACTCTGCATCTATGAAAATTAGTAAAAAAAAATATAAACTTTTATGAAAAGTCATACTTCTCAACTACATCATTAACTTTCTAATATTCTCAATGACTTCACTAATTTCACATTTGAAAACATTTGAAGCCTATGCCCCATTATGAATATGTTACCTCAAATCTTTTGATCCTTATGTGCCCTTGGTTTACTATAGATCATATGTATAATACAGTAACTCTTTTAGCCCTCACAACATTCATATAAAGTACATATTGTTGAAAGAGATAATCACTTCCTCAGGGCACCGATTTTCAAAATCCACAAGAAACTAAGGTTCATGTATTCCTGTCCCATGATTATTATTATCCTTCCTATGACAATATGCTGGCCCTCTTTTCTGTTTGGTTACTGAAATGAAAACATATTTATCCCACTGTATAACTTTTAACATACCAATATTCTACTCCCTAATTATTCTTAGAAATCTGATCAATAACAAAATGTTACTTTTGTAATGGTTTCAAGTGAAGAAAGTGTGAACTGTGAACTCAAAGTCAAGCCAGAGTGACTATTTTGGGATGATGTGTTGTTGTTGCGTTGTTGTTATTATTATTATTATTATTATTATTATTATTATTATTATTATTTGTTTTCACTGCTCCAAATACTTTTTGTGCAACTTTCAGAGCTTTCAGCCAATATGGCCATTTCCGGATGCTAGCTTTGGAAATTTGTAATAGAGAGGAAGCTGCAGGGAACTCTAGCTTCCAACCAAATGTGAACTAACCAAAGATGTTAAATCAAGATTCAAATTGGTGGTCCATGACTGGTTCTGATCTGTAAATGTTCAGATATTGGGGGGGGGGGGCATTGTATCCAATATGGTAGTGGTCCCTGAAAAAAAGTGCCAGTTCCACGCATCAGAAAACTTTAGAAGCTTTGAACTACACCATAAGTTTGAGTTGTAAACTGTGGCTCTGACCCAGTGATATTTGGTTACCATTACTATCATGTAAAAACCTTTAACATTTTAAAATTATTCCTGTAGGATTCTCACATTCAATCTACAGCCGAAAGGCAGGATGGGAAGTCAAGAGAGAGCAAGAAGAGTTCCGGAAACTTACTTGCATTCTCCAGGCTTGTCACAAAATCCATGTTGCTCATCACATCCAGGCAAGCAAATCGCTGCAAAAGACAAAAAGGGAAAGGGGGAAGCCAAGAAATTTAGACTATAGTGAAAAGAAGTGTGACCCACTCCCACAAGGCTCCAAAGGGCTTATAACTCCCTTTTCACTCTGGTTGAGCTGCTAACAGCAGCTGAATTAATCTCCGGGTCTTGGTAGGAGTATTGATCTCGCTTAGTCAGTGGCTGCTTTTACTTATTGCCAGGACTGAACATTCCTCTTAATACAGTTGCACACGGACAAAAGAGGGCTCACAATCGCTCCCTTCTCCACAGCTCCCACCCGCCTTTCTTCCCAATAAGGGTCAGAAGTCCTCTTCCCCCTGCTTCTCTCCCCCCCCCCCCCCCGCTCAACCCAATTCTATGCACACAACTCCTCCTCTTGCTAGCCTCAGAAAAGTGTGTGAAAGTGTGTGTGTGTGTGCATGTGTGTGCGCGCGCTCACAGATAAGGGTGGACAGCTGGTGTGCAGGGTGCCAGCCGGGACAGCTGCTCTATTGTCTATTCTCTCCCAGCAGCTGCCCCAATGCAACAATACCCCCAACCTCTTGCAGCCAATTGGGGCCAAGATGTGCTTCCTCAACAGCCTATCCCTGCCCAGATCTAATCTATGGCACGAGCGTGATTTCTCTGGAAAGGGGTCGGAAAGGGAGGGGGAGAAAAACTTTTCTTCTTATTCAAATAAATAAGTCTAAAGTTCTTTCACACATACATACACACACCCAAAAGGGAAGAAGGGGGGATGGAAGCTGGGAAGGGGAGGGGGGCACAGACAGAAGGAAAAAGGGGTAAGCAGGCCAGCAGGAGGGAGGTTGGGAGCAAGGCGGGAGGGAAGACTTCTGCTCATTACTTTGCCTGGTTATGGAACTCATTAAGCAGGCACCGCAAGTTTTAATTCAACAAAGCAAGCCAGGGGAGACAATGCCAAGGGCCCAGGAGGAGGAGGAGGAAAAACAGAAGATGAGGAAAAGCTGGGCTGATTGTCTCCACACACACACACACACACACACAGCACAAACTGAATGGGGGCAGGCATGAGGCTTCAGGAAGCCTGAAAACTTATTTATTTGCTTTGCTTATAGGATGACATCATTCCCCAACCCATCCTATCAAAAGGGCAGCCAGTTTTCTAACATCAGGAGAGAATGCTTCTAGAACGTGGCCATACAGTCCGAAAAACTTAGAACAACCCAGTGATTACAGCCATGGAAGCCTTCGACAATACAGTTTTCTAACAACTTGCTCATAAAAATGCATGTTGGTTATCAGTCAAATAGATTAGCCATACCAACAGTATTGTGCAAGAATACAACCTGCTGCTTCAAGAAGGCATCATCATCAATGGATCAAAAAAGTCTGTGTTTTCTTTCTATTCTCTTCTAAAAGTACTATCAAGGGGGAGAAAAACGGGATCCCTGTCTGCTGTACTAACTGGAGCCATAAGCTGCGCAAGAGTTCCCAAAGTGCATGTATGTTCAACATACAGTTTAAGAAATGCATGCACACACTGGGCAGCAATTATATCTGACATATCATAATGGCCAGTATGTATGTGTGAAAGAGATACTTCAGCATGCCCTAAGACACTGGTTCTCAACCTGTGGGCCCCCACCAGGTGTTTTGGCCTACAACTCTCAGACATCCCAGCCAGTTTACCAGGCATTAGGATTTCTGGGAGTTGAATGCCAAACCATCTGCGGACCCACAGGCTGAGACCCACTACCCCAGGACTTTAAAAAGCCCAGTGTGTATGGAAGGGATACCTCTTCCATGTTTTGAGCAGCAGATTTCGATGCTATGTTAAAATATGGCTTTGGGAGGTTTTTTGAGGATCAAAAATGACTTGACATGCAGGGATGCTGTATACAAGAACTACATTAAGTTACCTTTTCCTTTTACAATAATCGTACAGCTCCCAGAATCCTCCAGTAACCATACTGCCTGGGAGATTAAGGGAGCAAAGATTCAAAAAGGAACTCTCTCAAACTTTGACTCAAGTCCAAGAGGGCAAGAGGTGCCATATTTAATGTGATTTCCTCCCATCAGTTACAGCTACATTCCAGGTTCCATTAGCCAACTAGGAATACTTGAAAAGTATTCATTCCTATATACACACTACAGTCCATCTGTGTGTTTGAGGAAGCAAAGTATTTTTGTGGTTGACTTTATGCTACAGATGTGCTGGAGTTCAAGTCTCATATTCTCCAATCAGTGATGCTTCCTTGGAATGATTGCAATTGTGATGCACACATCTGGAAGATGTCAGTTTGGCAGAAGGCAGGTCTACTTTAAGTGACACCTTTACTTCATTGTGCTTCCCTGTTATCAATAATGGCACTAAGGACCACAGACAGAAGGCTTTTTAGAAAAAGTTTTTCTGTCTTGGGAGTCATATTCAAGTCACACTGAAGTCTAGGAGCCCTTCCACACAGCCCTATATCCCAGAATATCAAGGCAGAAAATCCCACATTATCTGAGTGTGGACTCAGATAACCCATTCAAAGCAGATGTTGTGGGATTTCCTGCCTTGATATTCTGGGATATAGGGATGTGTGGAAGGGCCGTCAGGCAAACATTTCATTGATTGTTAAACTGGAGGAGCATTTTCTGTCCTACACATCAACTAGGTGCAACACTTCCCTTGTGTCACTCAGTATTTTTCCTCCCATAGTTATTTTAGTCTCACTTTTGAGAAAGGAGGTCATCAATAGATTTAAAATGCCAAGAACACAATTATGTTGACCATAAGAAAAATTCTGAAAATCCGTATTTTAAATGCACGAAGCCAACCAAAAAGGGAAAGGAGAAACTTGCTAGAACCCATTACTTTACCACCAGACCTTTCTCTTCCCCTTTCTGTTCCCATTTTGTTTATATCTAGCCTTAAGAAAAGTTTTTCAGTAACTGAAAACCTATACACTACTTCGTCACATTATAGCTGGTGCTGCCTTAAGCGATGGTCCTGATGTTTATTTTATAAGAAGAGTAGAAAAGAGTTTTAGGAATATTTTAGTAATATTATAGTGGCACATTTAACCATTATCATAATTTTAAGCTGCATTTGCACTACACAACTATAGCACTTTGATACTACATTAACTTCCACGGTTCTATCCTATGGAATTATGGGATTTGTCATTTATTGAAATATGGTTATGTAGAAGTTTCTGCCTAAGAACTACAATATTGCAGAGTCTGAGAACAAAATATCAATTCTGAGCTGGAAGCGCCCATGCATTTTTAATGTGCTAGATTACTTAATATTGCAATCCCATTATGCAAGAGTGGAATTGCCTTTCTGTACTTAAAATAACTGATTGAACTACTCAGTAGTAATTGAACAATTGAGTGGCACTTCATTCCTTTATTCACTGCTTCTTCTGAGTAGATCAACTCATAAAATAATTTAAATGTTGTTCAAACCAATGATTGTCACTGTTCTGCAGATTAAAGTGAAGAAAGATTCTGGATTTCTTTGGGGAGGGGGATATTAGCCTCAAAACTTCTACAGAGTTTCCAAGCCAATATGTCTAAATGTATCACAGGAAGCCAGTATTGCCTTCTGTTCAGGCTCCTGGATTTCTGCATTTTACAGTGTGAAGGGAGAAGATTTGGACAGGATTTTTTCCTTCGTTCTCTTTGGCAAGTTGGTCATCCAAGTGAAGCATATATCATTTTGTGAGACAGTAACAGTAAGCCCTTCCACCAACCACATGAATCCTCAAACCTAACATGCTTGTACCTGAATGTATTGTTGAAGGCTTTCATGGACAGAATCACTGGGTTTTTGTACGTTTTTCGGGCTGTATGGCCATGTTCTAGAAGCATTCTCTCCTGACATTTTGCCTGCATCTATGGCAGACATCCTCAGAGGTTGTGAGGTTTGTTGAGGATGCTTGCCACAGATGCAGGTGAAACATCAAGAGAGAATGCTTCTAGAACATGGTCATATAGCCCAAAAAACCTTGCACCTGTATGTCTGTGAGCCAAAATATTCCTAAGACACCAGATCTCATGTGATCCTGGAAGCAAAGCAATGTTAGTCCTGATTAGGACTTGAATGGAGGACTATCAAAAGATAGCAGGTGCTGTTGGCTATATTTCAAAGGAAAGCAACTGCAAAGTCACCTCTGAGTAGTTCTTACCTAAGAAACCCCTATGAAACTAATGGGGTTGATGTAAGGCAACAGGAGACTTGAGGGTGCACAGGTGTGGACACATAGACACACATGTGTAAATGAGAGCAGAATGTGTACTAACATTACACAAGGAAGGAAGGGAGTCAAAAGTTGCATTGCATTGTGGACACTCACGATCAGTGCAGTATTGGCCCTTCCAGCCCGGGTTGCAGACTTTCTCCCCACGCTCTCCACAGGTGAAGTGGCCAAAAGCATCATCCCTGGGGCGACAGAAGACAGAGCAGCCTTCACCATAGTAGTGCTCATCACACACAAAGCGGTAGGAATACTTGAGGTCAGTGCGGTCACTGCTGTGCAGGTCCTGGGACCACTCTTCCCCAACGGTCAAATGTCTTTGGGTAGCCAGGCGGCTAATGAGACGCTCTGGATTCTCTACAGAAAGGAATGGAAGAAAGATAGATAGGGCAGGAGTTGGGGAGGAGACAGAAAGGCAGTTAATTAAAGGGAAAGAGTGACATCACCGTCATTATTATTATTATTATTATTATTATTATTATTATTATTATTATTATTAGAAATTATACGCCTGGAAAACCCAAGTGAAGAAACTGATTTTAAAAGCAGTTGTGCAAAAACCATTTGGGGCTCCCCAAATACTCAGTACATATGGAATTTTTCCACTAACTCCAATGGGACATACATGCAAGTAAGTGGCTTGGGATCACGATTGTAAACAAGTGCCACGAGACAGCCACTGAGTGTAGGTTTGCCAATGATCTAAAGGAATGGCCTTCCTTATTGTAGCTGGGAAATATTTACCTGTGTTGAGATCATCAGGGGAATCAGTGTGCAGTGCTTCAATGATGAGAGAGAATGTGCCCTGGAAAAAAGAAAAAGAAAAACCAACAATGAGAGCAAACCGTCTGCAGTCAGCAAAATAACATGATGACAGGAGTGGCTGTGTGCGCCTGGCCAACATGACTCTCTTCATCCCCTGACTCTGACCTGTTTTCACTTTCCTCAAGGAAATGGCAGCACTTTTTCAAAAGCCACTTCCTGACCTGTTTTTTCAGGCATAGTTGTACAGGATGTGGCATTTTTAAAAAGCTGAACGGGGACGGGGCAGAGGTAATAGGAAGGCTGGAGACATGGGGAGAGCATTCATAAATTCCCAGTCTTCCCATTTTAGCTGTGCTTGCCAGCTTTCAAATCAAGAGGCACTGAATGGGGAAAGAGAGTGTAACAATGACATGGCCATTTCCATAATGGGAAACCAAGGGGAGTGGAATAGCTATCCAATCTGCCCAGCCACACAGCTCTCCCCATTTTCTCCATCCCTTCAAATGACTGGCTGAGGTCACTAATGATGAGACAAGCAAGCTGCCACCATCAGCAGGCTTGCCATATCAAAAAGGACAAGAAGCTGGTCATCTTCTTTGAGCGTCTGTCCCTTGGAGTAGATATTGGAGCACTTTGAGACCAAAAGTAGTTGGTAGCATAAGCACAAGTTTACAAAATTAAATGAAGCAGACTTTAGCCTATGAAAACGTATTCCGCTACCAGCTTAGTTCTCTGTTGGTCTTGAAGGTGCTACAAAATCTCTGGAGTTTCAGCCACCCGTTGTGGTGTACATGGCTCTAAATTGAAGAACTGTGGCTTGGAGTAAGGGGCACTTTAACCAGGGGGGGAAAGCAACCTAAATGACTACTTTACTTCTCAACAGCATTAGTTTCTCACAGCATCACTAAGGTCTTAGGAATGCAAACTACTGATTTTGGGAAAGGGTAGCAAAGATCACACATGTATTCCCAAATAAAATAAATATGCTCGTCCTTTACATCCTGAAAGTGTCTTTTGTCATTTCAGTTGGCAACTCCATTTACTCCCCCCAACCAGATACTTTACATGGAGCATTCAAGGGATCACCACTTTGTTTTACTTCTAATTAGAAATCACAATCATCCCATCCACATGGGAAGCTACATTTGAGAAACACACTCACACCTTTCTCAGTAAACCCTACTTTAAGAACTTTTTCTTCCAAAAGTAACTCCCAAGACTCTGCCTCCTATAGAAGAACTAAAGAAATTAAAGAGGAAAGAACCATCTTCCTTGGTGGCATATGCCCTGAGAGTAAACTAACTGAACCAAACTTCTTAAAGTGGTGTTTTGTTGAAACAGCAATCTGAACACGTGCTATGAACAAGACACACCCAGTTGCCACATTTGCCAATACTTCAGACAGTAAAAGTGATAGCCCCACTTTGAGTAGCTCTTAATGAAATTGCTTGAGACCAAAAGTGTTCTGTATTTAATACATAAGGGCTTTCTTAGAGGTGGGAGCCAGGTCTAAACACAAAATTCCTTTATGTTTCAATTATCATCGCCTGAAGATAATTGTATACATTTAATAATTTTGTGCCTGAAACATGTGTATAATACTGAAGCAAAGGTGTCACTATCTCAAACTTAATAATGTTGGAGTATTTCAGAATTCCAGACAGGGGATGCTCAACCTAAAACAACTCAACATAACCACAAGCACTAATATCCACATTTCTACTGAAAACCACAGCTTATCCACTATCCAGGAGGCAACAGTCTTAATTCCGTCATTCTTCCCAACCTGGAGTAGACTCCATCAATGGAGTCAACACCATGTGTTGACTGGCCACTCAAGTGGAAAACCTACAGGATTCAGGTCCATTTGTAAGCTGGTTCCCCAACTTAGTCAACCTTTACTACTCCAGGTGTTTGCGATTTCAGTCTCCAGAAGCTCCCAACCAACTTGGCCTGGTGTCAGGAGTTCAGGCAGCTGGAAGACATGAGAATCACCAGGGGTGCATCTACCATGTGTATTTTGACTTCTATGGCATCATAAGAACTGTAGTGTGGTGAAGGCCAAAGACCTCTTAAAAGGCCCATTCCTAGAATGCCCATGATGTCAAGATGCATCCCTTTTCCAAACCCGTTTGTCAGCTGCAGCATGTAGGTGTGTCATAGGAGCATAAAGAGTCTGTGTGGAATACACAATACCAACTTGCAAAGTTGCACTCAAAATATAAATGAAAGGCTGTCATGAGATGAGTTGTGCCCCCATCCACTGATATGTGTAACATAAGGGAGTTGGTTTAACCCAGGCATGGGCAAACTTGGGCCCTCCCTCCAGCTTTTTGGACTCCAATTCCCACAATTCCTAACAGCCTCAGGCCCTCTCCTTTCCCCCCTCAGCCTGAGGCTGTTAAATATTGTGGGAGCTGGAGTCTAAAACAGAGGGAGGGCCCAAGTTGGACCATGCCTAGTTTAACCTCTGCTTTGCTAGTAAAACTGAATGACTGTGTCGCAAAATGATGCCTGACCAAAAAGTGTGTCACCAACATGACAGGTTTGGAAAGCTCTAGTGTATATGATCCCTGGTGCAGGGCTTCCGAAACTCACTCAACACCTCTTTTGGACTAATGTATGTTTACATGACCTCCCGTATAGACATAAAACACAGGTCTACAAATCAAAAATGAAAAATGAGTGTTTTCAAGACTGTTTTATTTTCTAGCTGGTGGGGCATATCTGAAGTGTTTTCTGCAAAGCCCACTGTAAACCCCTGCCCAGTTGTTGCTCATAGATTTGTGTACAAATCTAGGTGAACTTCGGAAAACATTGACAGTTGACAACTTTTTCAGGCCCCCAACAGTGGTTCTCAACCTGTGGGTCCCCAGATGTTTTGGCCTTGAACTCCCAGAAATCCTAACAGCTGGTAAACTGGCTGGGATGTCTGGGAGTTGTAGACCAAAACACCTGGGGACCCATAAGCAGAGAACCACTGAGCTAAGGGGATGGAGAGCCTCATAGCAAGCAATGCTCTGATGCAGTCTTGGCTGGCCCCGCCCCTTTCCATCTGCCCCGGGGAGCAGCTCTCTCTCTCTTTCTCTCAATCAATCAGTGTGCGTGTGTCTCTCTCTCTTACCGGCCAGGTGAATCCGAAGGGGAAGCGGATGGGGTTGCTGAAGAAGAAGGGCTCTCCGCTGGCCCCGCTGCTGCCGGCGGCGTGGTCGGGGACGGCGAAGGAGTTGGCGCCCAGGACCGGGGTGAGGGCGCTGCCGTAGGTGCAGGGCGGCTCCGGGGAGACGCTGGCCTGGTAGTGCTTGAGGCACACGCGGAAGAAGGTCTGGCACTCGCAGGCCTGCAGCGGAGAGCCCGAGGGACCCGCCGCGCCGCCGCCGCCGCCGCCCCCCTCCCGGCAGCAGTTGCGGTTGCCCAGGAGCCCCTTCTTGTTGACAAACTCCTGCAGCTTCAGCTCGAAGACGCCCGAGGCCCGGACCTGAGCAAAATAAAGGGGGGGAGGGGGGGAAGCGTCAGGAGGGGACGGGGAGAGCCTTTGCACGCATCCCTCCCCCCAATCCGTTCACGCGGGATGCCACTTCCACAAGGTATCTCCACTCAGAAGAGCGAGCCCCTGCCCTTGTGCGTGTCTGCACGTGTGAACGCGCGCACGCATGCGTCCCCGAGTCCACCCGCTTCCCCAAACAAGCCAGAGAGGCCACTTGCCTAGTTTCCAAACCGACCTCCCATAAGGAACACGCAGTGGGAAGAGCGAGACCCTGCCCCTGTGCGTGTCTGCACGTGCGAACGCGCGCCTCCCCGAGTCCACCCGCCTCCCCAAACAAGCCACAGAGCCCACTTGCCTAGTTTCCAAACTGACCTCCCATAAGGCAGACGCACTTCGAAGAGCGAGCCCCTGGCCTTGTGCGTGTCTGCACGTGTGAACGCGCGCACACAAGCCTCCTCGAGTCCACCCGCTTCCCCAAACATGCCCGAGAGATCCCACTTTCCAGACTGACTTCACAACGTATTGTTGAAGGCTTTCATGGCCGGAATCACTGGGTGGTTGTAGGTTTTCCGGGCTGTCTGACCATGTTTCCAGAAGCATTCTCTCCTGACGTTTCGCCTGCATCTATGGCAGGCATCCTCAGAAGTTGTGAGACCTCACATTCTCTCCTGACTTTTCGCCTGCATCTATGGCAGGCATCCTCAGAGGTTGTGAGGTCTCACAACCTCTGAGGATGCCTGCCATAGATGCAGGTGAAATGTCAGGAGAGAATGCTTCTAGAACATGGCCATACAGCCAAAAAAACCTACAACAACCCAATGATTCCAGCCATGGAAGTTTTCAACAATACACAGCACCTGGCCAATACAGCCCGAATGACCTCACAACCTCTGGGGATGCCTGCCATAGATGTAGGCGAAACGTCAGGAGAGAATGCTTCGGGAAACATGGCCAGACAGCCCGGAAAACTCAAAGAGCAACCCAAGCGAGAGAGCGCTTCAGAAACGCTCCACATCTTACCGCTTCAATACCCCCCCCCCCATTAAAAAACTGCTCAGTGCCATCTATGAAGAGAGAGAGAGAGAGAGAGAGAGGCGCGTCCAGTCCTCAGTGGCTTACCTGGAGGTGGAGCAGGCAAACAAGCAGCAGAGTCAATGTAGCCTGACCCCGCATTGTGGCCGAAGGGGAGGCTGCCTTGTCAAGCGCGGCGAGGCCAATTCCTCCCTGGAGGAGAGCGGCTTCTTCTTCCTCTTCCTCCTCCTCCAGAAGGAGACCCGAAGGCAGTCCTTCCTCCTGTCGCTTTCCTTCGAGAGAGACGCCCGACAGTCGAGGACGAGCCAACCCAACGGGAGCTGGGCTTGTGTCTTCTGGGCGGCTTCCTGAGGAGTCTTGGCTCTGGCTTCTTGCTCCAACCCAGGAAGGAAGGCAGGCGGGCGGGCAGGCGGGCGGGGGGAGTTTAGGGGGCGGAAAAGGAGAGAAAAGCCACCTAAAATTCCCAGAGGCGGAGAAAAGGCTTCCCAAAGCAGATTAAAATAATCGTCGAGGTGGAAATCCCTCCAGGGACGAGGAGGAGATAATTCCCGGTGGCTTCAGGCGAAGGAGGAAGAGGAGGAGGAGGAGGAGGCGGGGGAGAGAGAGAGAGAGAGAGGTGGCTTCCTTCGCCAAGCCTGGCTTTCTGAGCAGAGGATCCGTCTTTGGCCCCCGAAGGAATCCAAGTCCGAAGAGGGAGGCAAGGAAAGGCGGTGGGGAGAAGTGTCTTTATTTCCCCCCCTCTTTTTTTCACCTCTCGGGTGGTTTGTCTCCCTTCGCCTCTCGGGGGGTGTTTTGTTTCCTTTTTGCCTTGATTGCTTTCTGTTTAAGGGACGGCTCCAAATTGGCTGCTTGCTGTCCTGACTCGCTTCCTCGCTTGGGATCCCTCTCTTTTCCTTCCTCCCTCCCTCTCTCTCTCTCTCTCTCTCTTTCTCTCTCTCTCTCTCTTTCTGGCTGCGCTCGGGGCGCCTGCCCGCCTTATATCGCGCCGGCCGCCTGCATGGCTAATGAGATGCAAATGAGCAGCCCCCCAATCTGGCTCGAGCGGCCACAAAGGAAGCACTTTACCAAGCCGTCCGCTCCCTGGATCGCCAAATGGTCAGTGAGCTGTAAAATGGGCAACCCTCCTCCCGACCCCCCCCCCCCGCCCAATTGCGCCTTATCACGCCACTCCCCTCTTCCCCCCTCCCCTCCCCTGAAAAAAAAAGACTGCAAATGCCTGCCAATGGGGGCACCGCAATCACCGAGCTTGCTTCTCCCCGGGCTCATCTACACTGAGCATTTAACGCGGTTCTGGACACCACCTCCCACCATAAGGTGCAATCAGGGCTCCCTATGGTTCCTGTCATCATCACCACTGAGGATTTCCGATGTCAGCCCCTCCACGGCGCAGTGGCTTTCTTCCAGAGCGGTTTGAAACTACATCAAATGGTCAGTGTAGCTGGCACGCGAGATCCCCCGCTTCCACTCACTTCCTCCGGGCAACGTCATTGCAGACGGCCAATTCTCTCACGCCAGAAGCGACTTGTAGTTTCTCAAGTCGCTCCTGACACCAAGCAAGCAAACCCAGGGCCTGAAGGCACGTGCCCGCAATGCCTCCACACGCCGCTAGTCGAGATCTTGCAAAGCCACGCGTGACAGACAGCGTCCGAGGGGATAGGTGTATTGGTTGGGGAGTTTTAGAAAAGCCTACCTACACTGCGCCGCCCCTCCTCCTCCTCCTCTTCCCTAGCCTCCGATTAGAGTCTCAACGAGGAGGAAGAAGCCGCGCGTCCACACGCAGCCGGAGTTCGCGTGACAGATTCGGCTTCCCGGCGGCTGCCTTGGACGATTGGTGGCCGGGGATCTTAAAGGAGAAAGCAAGAGGGGCACGTATTATCGAAGGCTTTCATGGCCGGAACCACTGGGTTATTGAGAGTTTTCCGGTCAGAAGCATTCTCTCCTGACATTTCGCCCACATCTATGGCAGGCATCCTCCGAGGTTGTGAGGTCTGTTTGAAACTAAGAAAATTGGGTTTATATCTCTCTGGGGTGGGAGACAGAACTCTTGTCTAAACCTCATTTTCCTAGTTTCCAACAGACCTCACAACCTCGAAGGATGCCTGCCAAAGATGCAGGCGAAACGTCAGGAGAGAATGCTTCTGGAACAGGGCCAGACAGCTCAGAAAACTCACAACAACACGACTTGCCGGGCCTCTTGGGAAGCTGCCTCCCCTGATCGTTATGCACAACCAACTCCATGGTGTGTGTTTGTCAAAAATAAGACTTCAAAAGCCCATGTGTTAAGTTCCAGGCAGGAGGCGGTAGTGGGAGGGGGCGCTTGGCTGGCTAAACAGCCCTGCTTTTGAAGGACCCACGAAGAAGCAGCCCCACAGCCCTTTCCCCCCTTCTTTCCTTCCTTCCTTCCTTCCTTCCCTGCACTTCTTCCTGGCTCAACTGGCTGGCCAACCTGCCAAGGGTGGGCCTGCTCTCTTTCTCCCCCTTTGGCCTCCTTCTCTCCCTCAGGAGGACGAAGGGGATCCATCCCAGCCAGAACACACACACATTCCCTCTCCATCTCTCTCTGCATCTCACTGCCTTTTTAATTCTTCTTCTTCTTCTCCCTTCCTCCTTCAAGCTTGGGTGTGTGTGTGTGCTTCTTCTCCTCTTTCTTTCTTTTTTTTTTTAAAGAGTGAGTTTGGTGTGTGTCGTTCGCGTGGCTGTCATTAAGGCAGTTTGTTATTATGGGAGGCCTGCATCAGTTGGCTCTTTGTGCTCTCAGCTGTATGGTAATGCACCCAGCACCTGCTCCCTCGCACAATGCAAACGGGAGAAAGAGCTCCCCTCGGCGCACGCGAAGGCCTCTACAACAATGTGCTCACCACTTTTTTTAATTCCATTTGTTAAAAGAGAGAGAGAGAGAGAGAGATCCCTTCCAACCCTCCTTCCCCTCCCTACCTTGGAGAAAAAAACACAACTTTGTGCCAACCGTCCTCCCCCCCCCCCCCCCCCCCCCCCTTCTTCTTCTTCTTCTTCCTTAACATATCCCTCAGACACTAGAGCTTCTGTGTTGGTTAAAAACACACACACAGGGATAGAGGCACAATGGGGTGGGGAAGGGAAGTGTTCTGCTGCCAGGGCAAAAGTTTCCCTGCCCTTCCTTCTTCCTTCGTTGAAGCAAGGCTCTGGAGGAGTCCACCAGATACCATGCAGCTGTGGACAAGTCAACAGAGGGACCACCAAACGCATTGTTGCCCAAACACAATTCAAGGAACATTTCTTTATTTATTTACCATATTTATATCCCACCTGGAACTTTTGGTTGTTTCTGTTGTTTACCCCTGTGTGTCTCTTGGACACACAGCACATCACATTTCTTATCTCGGCACAGTTCATAGAGCAGTTGTTCCTTGGCAACTGACATACCTTCAGTGTTGATTGAGATTATTGTCATGGTTGGTCCTGAAAAGGGCTGTTGGTTGGTTTGCTTGTTTGGCAGCATGCTGCAAGTTGCTTCTGGTCACTTCTGGAGTGAGAGAATCAGCCATCTACAAAGACGTTGCCCAGGGGATGCCCAGATATCTTGCAATCCTGCAAGGAGGCTTCTCTCATGTTCCCCATGGGATATGAGCAAACTGAAAGCCAAAACCAAGGTTACAATGATATCTGTTATAGAACTCCAATATGCTGATGACAAAGACGTCTGCGCGCATTCAGAAGAAGACCTCTAAACACATTTGCAGATGCATACGAGAAGCTTGGCCTGTCACTGAACATTGAGAAAACCAAAGTGCCCTTCCAGCAGTCACCAGGCAACCCCTCTCCAATGCCAGAAATACAGCTTACTGGTGTAACATTAGAAAATGTTGATCATTTCCGCTACCTTGGCAGCCCCCTCTCCACAAAAGTCAACCAAAAGTCAACATTGACCCTGAAATACAACACCACCTGAGCTCTGTGAGTGCAGCATTTTTCCAAATGAAGCAGAGAGTGTTTGAGGACCGGGACATCCGTAGGAATACCAAGGTGCTTGTTTATAAAGCTATTGTCCTCCCAACCCTGCTATATGCCTGTGAAACATGGACTATCTACAGAGGCCACATGCAACTCCTAAAACAATTCCATCAGCACTACCTCTGAAAAATCCTGCAAATCTCTTGGGAAGACAGACAGACAAATGTCAGCATGCTGGAAGAAACAAAGACCACCAGCACTGAAACAATGGTCCTCTGCCATCAACTCCGTTGGACCGGCCACGTTGTCCAAATGCCTGATCACAATTACTCTACTTTGAATGCAAGAATGGAAAACAGAATGTTAGAGGACAGGAATAGAGATTTAAACATGGGCTCAAAGCCAACCTTAAAAATTCTAGCATAGACACTGAGAATAGGGAAGCCCTGGCCCTTGAGTGCTCTAGTTGGAGATCAGCTGGGACCAGCAGTGCTGTAGAATTTGAAGAGACACAAATGGAGGGTAAAAGAGAGAAATGTGCCAAGAGGAAGGCGCTTCAAGTCAACCCCGACCAGGACCTTCCACCTTGAAACCGATGCCCTCACCTTGGGAAACGATGCAGGTCAAGAAAAGGGCTCCACAGTCACCTATGGACCCACCACCAGGACACCAATCTTGGAGGACAATCTTACTCAGACAACAAGGGATTGCCCAAATAAGTAAGTATATCCCACCTTTCTTTACCCTGAGGGGGACTCAAGGCGGCTTATAACATATAATATCCAACTAAAAACATGGTTTAAAATTAAAAACATTAACAAACATAATTAAAATACATTTCAATTAATCACATCATCCAGAGTCTGAGACCAAGGCCATTCCGTAGTCGTATTGCACATTTTCCATAGTAACATTTCTGCACTGCTTTGTTTTTCAAAAGCCAGGTTTTGATTCTCCTTCTGAACACTAGAAGGGGAGGGGGCTGCCCTGATATCACTAGGGAGGGAATTACGAGCCATCACGAAGTTTAAAATCAGCTGGAGAGGCCCTGCTCTCGATCCCACCATCATCGCAAATTCAACTGGTGGGGACAAGAGACAGGGCCTTCTCAGTGGTGGCATCTTATTTATTTTATTTATTTATTTCATTCACTTATACCCCGCCCTTCTCACCCCTGGGGGGACTCAGGGCGGCTTACATAAAGGGCACAATTAGATGCCCAAACACACAACAATTAGTCCAAAAAATATAAAATCAACAATTAAGTTAAACAACAATACATAATAAAAGCATGTGGAACTTGCCTGTGGAACTCTCTCCCAGTGACATCAGATTGGCTACCTCCCTCCTTTCCTTTAGAAAGAAACTCAAAACCTGGTTATGTAACCAAGCATTGTAACGATAGAGGCAGCAATCGAGAATAAGACTAAAGTGATAGGAATGACAATAGACTGACCTGGACTTGGATTTTAAACCT